GGTCTTTTCCAACCTGGTTGATTCTATGACATTCAGAAAACTTTTTCCAACCACCAAATTGCAAGAATATTATGGAACAATCTCCCAGGAAAAGCAGAGGGACCAAACACCACAAATAAAACTTAGGCTCTGAAGAAGTTTCCTGTGCCATGAGCATCAGTCCTTAGCATCTGGGTTTGGCTCATCTTCCTTTCCTTTAACATGCATCATACCAGCTGCTCTAGTTCCTCTTGTGCCTTTCTTAACTAAATGGTCCTTTTCTTCCCTTCCAGATGCATCCAGTTCTAAAGGCCTTTGTGTGTGGCTCCATCAGTGGGACTTGCTCCACACTCCTCTTCCAACCCCTTGACCTGCTGAAAACTCGCTTGCAAACTCTGCAGCCTGCTGTGAATGGGTAAGAAGGTGGGGATATGTGTGCATGGGTTCTGTGTTGTGCTCCACCATAGGCTTCTGCCTTATTTGTTGGCTGGGGCTTGGAGTTCATAGGGCTGTAACTTGGATGCTGAGAGTCTTTCTGAAATACTAGCTGTGTTTTTATAACATGAAGGATTGATAATTTGCTCCAGAAGAGACAAAATGGGTGCTTTTGTGAACGCTACTTTAATAACATTTAACCTCAGCATTTCTCATGGTCTGTTCTCACTGGAGAGACTGGTGTTTGCTGGAGTGGCTGCTGTCCATTTCACAGGGTGTCCTCTGCCTGAAAAATCCTGTACTGTTGTCACATAACATTTCCAGGTGTGCAGCTTCTCCCATTTGTTTGATGTAGTCAACTGTGACTACACCTGCTGCTGCTAACAAAGGGAGTGTGCAGCTAAAAGTGCTAATGAGAGAGACATGTATTACAAATGGTGGGAGAGCAGAAGGGGATGGAGAAGCCCTGGAAAGAGTACAAAGAAAAGCAGGCTGAGTTGAGAAAGAGCACCTCAGAGGTGCTGGGGTAATGCACAGAGGTATGAGTGAAAGGGAATGGCTGTGGAGTACATCTGGCAGAGTGCAGAAGCAGGTCACCTCTGCATTTCTTGTCTTATCTTCCTTTCAGGTCCAGCCGTGCTGGGATGGTAACACTGCTCTTCAGGGTTGTTCGTACTGAGAGTCTTCTGGGGCTCTGGAAAGGAGTCTCTCCAGTAAGTGGCTGTTTTAACTCTGAGTTCTAAAAATAAGTAGGTAAATAAACCTATCGTTTCATAGAATCGCAGGCTGGTTTGGGTTGGAAAGGACCTTAAGATCGTCCAGTTTCAACCCCTGCCATGGGCAGGAACACCTCACACTAGATCATGTTGCCCAAGGCTCTGTTCAACCTGGCCTTGAACACTGCCAGGGATGGAGCATTCACCATTTCTCTGGGCACCCTGTGCCAGCACCTCAGCACCCTCACAGGGAACAACTTCTGCCTTAGATCCAAGCTGAACTTCCCCTGTTTAGATTTTAATCCATCACCCCTTGTCCTGTTCTAGTTGTTTATTACTAACTATGGCTGCCTGGATTTAAATAGCCAGCTCTTGTACAATTATGAGTGAAACCATGTGCGTTGGATTAAATCCTATTTTAAGGAGTTAATGTTGTGAATTCCACTGATTTGGTCATGGTGGTCACTGTGGTGGTTTTGGAGTCCTCAGCAGCTGAACACTTGGATACTTCTGCAAAGGTGGGGTGGCAACTGCACCAGCTTAATTTTTTGTTTTGGAATATCTTGTTCCTAGAAAACTGAATCAGTTGGCTTTCAGTGCCATACATCATAGAGTCACAGGTTGGTTTGGGTTGGAAAGGACCTTAAGATATCCAGTTCCAACCCCCTGCCATGGATAAATGATTTGTACTTTGTCTTCTCTCCTCAGCATGTTCGCTTCAGTGATTTTTTTGTTTTCTACAAAGCTTCCTGCCAAGTTTAACAGTCTTTAAAATGTTCTGCAGTACATTTTGTCTTACCTATGTTTTTTCTTTCTTTGTCTGCTTCTGTTTCCTCTGAAGTCCTTTGCAAGATGTATTCCTGGGGTTGGGATTTACTTCAGCACTTTGTATATGATGAAGCAAAAGTTTCTAGTGGACCGGTCACCCACAGCCCTGGAGTCTGTCCTTCTGGGTGTCACTGCACGTGCAGTTTCTGGGATTTGCATGTTGCCAGTGACTGTAGTGAAGACCCGGTATGAGGCGAGTATGACTTTGTCACAGACCTGCCTTGTGATGAAACAGAAATTCCTCTGTCTGGAGCAAGTTGTTGCCTCTTGGCTACAGCCAGGGATGTAGTCCTGATTCCATCTGCGCTCACCCATTGTGCAGGAAATGCCATGCTCTGATACTCAGGCAAGAGTTGTTAAGGTGAAACAGAATTCACTCTGAGATTTTTAAGTTCCAATTGTATAGAATGTTAGTGTAGCATTTCTCATATTTTACCTTCCTGAAGGGTTGTTTTAAAGGTAGGTGAAACCCACTTTTTGCCTTGGGCTGTCCTCTGTGCTGCTATCTTGGGCATCGCATTGGGTGCATACTACAGGGGTTTTTTGGCTGCTATGGCCTCAGGCTGTGAGTAGAGCTCCTTGGCCTGTGCGAGTGACGGACCACTGTCTACCCTTGCAGAGTGGAAAATTTGGCTATGGGAGTGTATATGGAGCTCTGAAGAATATCTATCAGACAGAAGGGGCTCGTGGCATGTTCAGTGGGCTCACTGCAACGCTGCTGCGGGATGCTCCCTTCTCTGGCATCTACCTGATGTTCTACACACAGACCAAAAACCTCACACCTCAGGGTAAGGCTGAACATTGGAGGCTGCAATGGAAAATGTTTATCTTCTCGCATCTTGCCCTGCAGTTGCCTGCTTGCATGCTCTGCTTGTTGCCCTCCACCTCAGTAGTTAAAATGAGTCTCTTGTAGGGCTTTTAGGTGGGACATTCACTTTTTTTTTTTTTTTTTTTTGAGAACTCTAGACCTGTAACTCAGAAATGGAAATTTGCCCTAAACTGATTGATTTTCTTTATGAAGACTGGTGCATAAGAGGTGGGTTGGTGAACAGTTGAAAGAGAGGATGTCTTGCGTGCTTTCTGCTGCTGCTTATCTTGTATACTGATCAGTTTCCACTAAACCAGGGCTCTCTGATGTTAGAACTGGCTGGGGCAACACTTGCACAATCTTTCCTTTTCTGAGTAATTCAAATTCAGCTCCCCAGCAAGTGAGGCTTTTTAATAGTGCTAACTTTACACTAGTAGCCACTTTTCCCCTTGAAAGGCTTCTCTATCCTGCATGGATTTTAACTTCTCTTAGACTCTGACATTGATTTAATCATTCAGTAGCTTTTCCCTTTGTCACGCACTATGAGTGTTCCTGGCCTGTTTTGTGTCTGAGTGCATTCCCTTTGCTCTGTTGCAGACGAGCTGGATCCAGTGCTCATGCCCTTGCTGAATTTTGGCTGTGGGATCTTTGCGGGAATCTTGGCCTCGCTGGCAACGCAGCCTGCTGATGTCATCAAAACACACATGCAGCTGTCCCCCCAGACGTACCGCAGGACAAGCCAGGCCATTGCCTTCATCTACAAGGTGAGGTGAAGCCCTTCTCATGTGCCATTCACAGCCTCACTTGTGATCTCCTTGCTTGAAGCACAGCTATGCTAAGAAAGCTGTTGCCTTTTAAAGGAGGTGAACAAATGTGGCTGATATGCTCTTGCAGTCAGGCTAATCACTGTCAACATTTTCAGAATCTGGAAGTGGGTTGTGCTGTGGGAGACTGAGGCTGAATCTCTTGTTTATGTGCTTCAGTCATAAGTGGAAGGTACTCTGGTTGAGGGTCTGAAAGCAGTCATAAGCTTCAGTCCATTCCTTGCTTTTCCTTGTAATTAGAGAGGCCGTTGTCATGATGTGCTCCTCTTGAATGTATTAAAAGGCAGTGAACTTGTTACCTGGTTATTTTTGCCATTCCTCGGTCCTCTATCTGTTCTCACAAAAAATTGAAATTAGAGAGCAGGCTCAGAGTACTGGAGCACAAAGGTGGGCATATTCCAGTAAGCATCTCTCCACACAGACCTGCTTCATGTTTTCAGGCTGGTGAATGATTTCACTTCAGTCCTGTCCATTACATATTGATTCTTACACTGGTAGTGATGGAAAGCACTTAGCTTATTCCATTTTATTTCACTTCAGCTTAGCTTAGCATGTAGGCTTGGAGCAGCTGTGCTTGGTTTCTCCATGTAGGCATGTCTCTAATTACCACACTGGGGCAAAGGGTTTCTTTAGTGTGAAGTGCTGGTTTCACATACAAACCAGCTACAAAACAATTTTTTGCCCTTTGGATACTAAAAGAGAAATAAATGCCCAGATCGATATTCAGGAATGGGATGGAGATGTAGTCAAAGCCCATCTTTCCCTTCCTGCCCTCAGAAGGGCACGTTTTGGCAGATTTCCTTTGTTTCCATATTGAACTCTACTCCTTAACTGAAATCTGTTTATTTGTGCCTGGAGTTTTTTGTGCATGATACATTTTTTTTTTTTTCTCCTTAGAATGTTTTTTCACGTCAGTACTCACAGATGTCAGTTTTTAACAGAACAGTTAAGTGACTTTTGAAAATACGAAGCTCTAAACCAAAGGCAAATAATTTTCCTAGTGTCTTGAAACTACTACACCCTCAGCTTCTCTTTGTTGTGTTTGAGTGCGGCTTTCCCCATCTGTTGTCCCCATCCTGGCATTCCCTTCTCCACTCACTGCTCTTCCTGCTTTCTTGGGTAGGCCCTGCAATTGTACAATGCTACAGGTTCTTCCTCAGCATTTAATGCTATTTAAACCTGAGTCTTTCAGACACCATTCTAGGTCTGAGCTGAAATCTCTCCTGTGCTGTTCTATGTAATACATGGTGAGAAATGAAAACACTAAAGGCAGGCTGTGATGGATTGCTGTGTGTTTCTCTCCCGTTGCAGGACTTTGGGTTGGCAGGCTTTTTCCGAGGCGGTGTGCCCCGTGCCCTCAGGCGTACTCTCATGGCAGCAATGGCATGGACGGTGTATGAACAGATGATGGAAAAAATGGGCTTGAAATCTTGACTGTCTTGCACGAGAAATGACCAGCTTCACTCCTGCTGCTGCTTGCTGTGATCAACTGGCACTAGGAAGTTCCCAGTTCCACAGAGGAATAAGCTTTGCTCAGCCAGGAGGAAGAAAGCCCTTCTGGTACAGGGGATTAGGCCTTTTGGCAAGTAGAGGCAACAAAGGAGTGGATCTTAGTGTCACTAGATCAGCTCATTCCAGGACTGCACTTGCAGACTGCCATGGGCAATGGCAGGGTTTCCACAACCTGGTACCTATGCTAAGAAGCCCCTTTTGAAAATAGCTCTGTGTTCACCACCTTTATGCTGTGAGACATTGCTGAGCCTAAAGCATTTGAGGAGAAAACAGTGGTTGAAGAACCTACCAGCCTGAACCTTGCTGGTCTGGCCACTAAGACCCACTGTCTGATGTAGATCCCTCTTCCTCATATGCTTTGTTCTCACGGGGGAATGTTGCAGACCATGGTGGGAGACTGGATGTGTCTCTTACTGTGTATATTACAGGAGTGAGTGGAAGAGAAACGAAGTGCTGAAGGAAAGCCAGGAACGTGGTTTCTGTCATCACTTTGTGCTGGGCATGGTAGCAGAGAAGGTAACTGGAACCTCCTTGCTGAGCCATGTGTTGTCATGTAATTGAGCATCTTAACACTCTTGAAATGTGTTTCTGCCTCTACAGCAGAGTTTGCACAGGAATTAAGAAGCATGAGGCACTTTAAAATTAATTGCTGCCAAAGTTGTTCTTGTTCCCTGACAAACATTTTTCCTGCTGGTCTTACAATATCAGGAATGCTCAAGAATTACCTTTTTTTATCCAGTTGTACTAGAGATTTATTTGCTTCCTATTATTCATGTGTTAATCCCTGATCGATACCCTCTGTGTGAGCTGGTCCTTGGATGTAGCTTTTAGGGTCATAGGTCATAATGCATAAATGTATAATGGAAGTAGATATAGGTACTGACACTTCAGATTTCCCTTAAAAGCTGCTGCTGATTGCATGTGGAATATGTTTGGGTTTGGAAAGAAAAGGCTGGTCTTTTCTGTTTGAAAAAATTTGAAACCTGTGTGTTGGGTAGGGAACTTGAATTCTCTTTGGGCTCCACACAGACCCTTCACAGTTTCCTGGCTTATGATTTTCTCTTAGCAGGAAGTCCACAGTTCAGAATTCCTGAGTTTAAGGTTAGATAAATACATTTATTTTCATCCACTGTGCCTTCTTCCTCATTCCTACTGTGTTAAGGCAGACCTCAGAGTGTGTGCTGTCCAAACTTGGGCACAGCCTGCTCCCCTCTTCACTTGTGCCTCTGTGCTGGCTGGTTGGGTTGGAATTCTTGCAGCTCTGTTGGCATTGCCAGGCTGGGCATGGAAGTGTGCATCTTCCTCTGTAGTGTGCCTTGCAGAAAACATAGCTTTGGCTTTTCTTGAGTATCTAGGGATATTACAAATCACTTTAGAAACAGAAGAGATGTCTCTAAACATGAAGACATGGCACTGTAGCTGTACAAACAACCAGTATTACCTACCTGTTTGGTATTCAGAGTGGAATTTGCACAGTCACTGCCTGCCCTGGCAACCTGCTGAGCACAAGAGTAGAGGGGATGTGGGTTGTAAGAGATGTTCTTTACCAGATTCCTACTTCAAGAAGGTTTGATGACTGATGTGAAAGTTACGTGTGAGTAAAGTGTAAGGTGGCAGGCTGGAGGCTTGGAAGGTGCTGCCTGTTTTTAGCCTTAGCCCATCTGTGAGGGGGCAGTGGTGCTACACAGTGCAGGAGTCTCCCAAGAATGGTGGTGAAGGGTTCTGTGTGCACATATCTGCATGCTAATAAATAGAGCACTGCATGAGATCAGTCCCTGTTGTGACTGACAAGCTGTCAGATTCCCTCTGCTGCTTCTCACTGTCAGGCATGTGGGCACATAATTGGCCAAATCCCAAGTATGAAGAACCGTTCCTTTCTTTTGCTGTCCCTCTTACCCTTAGTGACTTGAATTTGCGAGGACATATGAGACAGTGGTAACTGCACATCCTGCTGGTAGTTATCCTGAGCCAGGTGATAAATCTTGAATTAAGTAACATCCTCATCAGAAACCTGAACTGCAGGAACGCTTCAGTGGCTTTTATGCCCTGTACTCCTGCCTGGTCCAGTTAAAAAGGAAGAACTAGAGAATTTATTCCCATGTGCCAGTGTTTTAAAGTCCACTGATTTTTGTTTTCTTTTAGGTCTAAAGCAGTGTTAGCTTTTGTTTTGGCAAAGTTCCCTTTACTTTGTGGAGAATGAGGAGGCTCTTTTTTGTTGTGGCAGAGTGAAAAGTACACGCTTTTTGACTTGTGAATTAGCCTGGGCTCCTTTGAGTTTAAGAAGTGGAGAATCTAAACTCTACCAACCCTTGGTGTTGTGAAACCAAAAACTTCTCCATATGTGAGCTGGGGAGAGTGAGTTTTGTGCTGCGAGTTTTATTTATTACTTCTTTTGTCAGGTCTCTCATACATGGGGGAAGGGAAAGCCTGAGGTTCTGTTTCACTGTCTCCTGAAAGCTCTATCATACAGGCAGGCACAAGACTGTTTCTCAGCTCTGATCCTTACCATCCTTCTTCACCCTTTTGCCCTCTTCAAAACCATTCTGTTTCTGAAGTGATTTATTGAAGTTACTTCTTAATAGCTATAGCAAGTCAAGAAAAACAAGTGTGGACTTGAGGTTTAGATATATTGCCTCTGAGGTTGTATGCTTCTAATCAACAACAAATGGCCACTGTACAGCCTAAATGCAAAGTAAATTAAATAAAAGATCCAGATCCAGGTGCTTAATCACATACCTGCATCATGACGGCAATTCAACACTAATGATCCTATCAGATAATCACTTCTAAAGCCATCTTAGCTTGGATGGCAGAGCAGGTGGTGTGATCTCTTCAACGTGTGGCAGGATACAGTTGGATTCCTCTTGGAATGGCCTCAGGTACTGGCAATACCCTGTTAGTGAACATGCCTTGGCTTTGCTAGCTCCTGCAGCTGTGGTATAAGAACACAACTGGTTAACATGTTGGGGCAGTCAGTATTTGAATTGTAAGGACACAAGAGAAATAGTCTGGTTATTTATGTTATAGAAAAGACATTTCCATTCTTCCCGTGTGAATATTCTCCCACCCCCTGCACTCTTTAAGCAGAACTGGAGCTTTGGAACATTGCATGGGTTTGAGTATTGTGAGTGTTTGTGTGTCTATATAAAATATTTACGTGAGAAGGTGTATTATATATTTCTATTAAAAACTGGTTGCCAAAATGAACAATGTCATCTCAGCAGAGTTTCTTTAAAAAAAACCCAACCCCCCAAACCAATAACCCACAAGGGGTGGGATGGAATGGAGTCTTAAAGCAGCAGAAGTCTCCCAAGAGAATAGAACTATTGGATGAGTTCAGAGCACATACATGGCAATGCATATTCTCTTTTTCTATGAGGTATAATACACACCGGCTGTGCTAGTGCAACCTAAATCAGCTTTACTGAAATGGAAAGAACACATAACGATGGGGAATCTTGTCTTTTTCACAGCTTCCTCTGCCTGCCTGCTGTGTGTAAAGGCTGATGGACACAGGAGCTCCATACTAGCTGGTGAAATACCCACCTTTAGGACAGTGGGGTTTGAGCACTCTGGGGGAAGACTGTTTTTAATCTCCTGCCAACCAGGTCTTTGCTACTCAGGCAGTCTGATCTCGGCAGGGGACAAGACACTGTGCCTGGGACACAATCCTCTGCTGCAAGGTGATGGTGAATTGCTGGGATCCCTTCTTGCTGCCACAGTGTGGTCCTGGGATTCATTAGCAGGTTGTGCTAAGCAAAGCACTGATGTTGGTGATACTGAGATGTGCATCTGTAACCCAATCTCTTTTCAGATACTGCCTAGATGATACATCTTCTATGGAGTTACCTGTGTGTAACAGTACTACCGGACAGTGCTGGTGTGCAGCTTGGGCCAGTGGGACCTAAACTGCTTGTGCAGGTACAGGGTACCAGGTTAGGCTGGTGATAGTGCCCACTCCTGCTCACAGGGCTCCCCAGAGCTCTCCTGCTGCCATGGAGAGCCACCTCCAGTGTAGAAGTCGTTGCTGAGAGCTGCCCCAGCTGTGAGAAGAGATAGCAGACAAGCTCCTTAATCCTGTCGGTTAGTGGAGGGTGGGAAAGAAAGAAAAAGAACAGTATAAAGGCATTGTCTGTGTAACAAAACACTGAATTATGGATCCTCTTTACATATAAAAACCAGGCCCAAGCTTTGCTTGCTTTCTTAAATTTTAGTATATTATGTACCGTAATCACTGCCACCAGAACTGCACAGAAATCATTCCTCATCTCACACACACATGTGCTTTCAGAAACTCCGTGGAGCTCCTGAATCCCTTCTGGCATTGCTTCTGGGTTCAAAGTATTGAGCTGATTTTCTACTTTGCACTGTCTTTATTTTCAATTTGATTACTATAAGATGCTCTGGGAGACTTTTTTTAGTAAAATTGACAAAATTACCGAGTAAGAGGTTAAAATGAGACCTCCACAACTTCTGTATCAGATGTTAGGCAGTTCTAGCTTTGTAGAACTAGGAAGAGAATAGATTTGCTGAAGTATATTTTCCCAAAGCATGAAATAAATAATAGTAAACCAAACCATAAGCCCCACTTGAGGGGCTCTTCCAGGTGAAATCCACATTTCACTGACAATAGTTTGCACATCTCTGTCCTCATTCAAGCGGTTTATGTTTAATATCAGCTTCAATATCTTTGTGATCAGAGGAGGAGACTACGCTGTAAGAAGTTCCTCTCAGATAAGGAATATTTTCAATCTAATTCAACATTTACAAAGCAATGTCTGCCATGTGCTGCGTGTAATTGTGTAACAAAGTTCAGTGTGAATAGTGGCAGAAGGGATATGGTCCAAAATACATGATAAGGTAGATATATTTCCACCCGAATAACGTGTCCATTGGTGACAGATTTATTTTAAAGCATCTGAGCACATGGTTAAAAAATAAACCAAACTTTCAGGTTGCTTAAGGGAATAATTAGGAACACTTTAGTGTCAAGCTTTAGCATTACTTTTCCAAGCCCTCTCATGGGCTCTGGAGCTCACGGTCTGCCATAAAGGGCCAAAACTATGACAAGAAGAAACAAGTGAAGTCTTAGAGATTCCAGAGGAGCCTGGAATGCTTACCAGCAGAGAATGATTGAGGTTGGAAGGGACCATGGGGTCATCTAGTCTAACCTCCCTGCTCAAGCAGCTCCTTTCATAGCATATGTACTGCAATATTTGTTACTGAACTTCCATCAATGGATGGATCCATTCCAATCAAATACACTCTTAATGCAGTTGGCTTTTGATTACGCAGAGGAGCTCTCCAGCCTAAATTTACTGCACACAGTATGGTAACAACACCACCTCCCCTCTTCTCCCCCCAAGCTAATATTCACATCATGCTCCTGTTAGGAGATAGGTTGGGCATAGCCCCATCGTGTCAGCTCTCACTCTCCGCAGCAACAGAAGTCTGTAATGTGTCAGGCACCTGTGTAATAGTTCATGATCTTGCTGGGAGCTCCCAACCGTTTGCTGAGTTTCATTTGACTTATCTTTGTCACCTCCATGTGGCAAACGTCTGAATTACTCTCCTAAAGTATATTCTAAAACTCTGCTGGTGATCGCGCTAATTAAGCTCATCAAACAAGCACACAGAAGAGAAAAGACGGTGAGACCCAGCTCCTGACGTGCAGGTTGAGCTTCTGGGGGGATGTTGGAAAGTGGATGACAATGGCTGCTCACCAAAACAGGACAAAGGCTGAGAAAGTTGGGGCTGTCCTGCCTGGAGAAGTGAAGCTGCGTGAAGACCTCAGAGCAGCTTCCAGTGTCTGAAGGGTGCTACAAGGATGCTGCAGAGGGACTCTTCATCAAGGACTGTAGCAACAGGACAAGGGCTGATGGGTTCAAACTGAAACAGGGGAAGTTCAGGTTGGATCTAAGGCAGAAGTTGTTCCCTGTGAGAGTGCTGAGGCGCTGGCACAGGGTGCCCAGAGAAGCTGTGGCTGCCCCATCCCTGGCAGTGTTCAAGGCCAGGTCGGACACAGAGGCTTGGAGCAACCTGCTCTAGCGTGAGGTGTCCCTGTCCGAATCAGGACCTGGACCAGGATGTGGAGCAGGACTTGGCTCTGGACCCGGACCAATAGCTGAAACAGGACCGGCACCGGGACCAAGACTTGGACCAGTACCAGGACCCGGATCAGGATTTGGACCTGGACCAGGACCCCTACCAGGACAAGGACCCAGACAAGGACCAGTCCAGGACATGGGCCAGGACTTGGATCCACACCTGGGCCCAGACCAGGACCAGAATTTGGACCTGAGTCAGGACCAGGACCTGAACTAGGACTTCGAACAGGATTTGGACCTGGGCCAGGTCCAGGACCACGACCAGGACCTGGACCAGTATCAAGACCAGGACCAGACAAAGACATGGACCAGTGCTTGGATCTCAACCTGGGCCAGGACCAGTACCTGGACCAGGGCTAGGAATTAGGCCTGGGCCTGGGCCTGGACTAGGACTTGGGCCAGTACCAGGATGTGGATCAGGACCAGAACCAGGACCCGGACTTGGACTAGGATTGGGACCTGGACCAGGACTAATACCTAGAGCAGGACCAGGACCAGGGTCAGACCTGGACCAGGACGAGGGTCTGAACCAGAACCTGCACCAGGACCAGGACTTGTACCCGGACCAGTACATCGACCTGGATAGACCAGGATCAAGACCCAGACCAGAACCAAAACCTGCGCCAGGACCATGACCCGGACCAGAACCTGGACCCAGATTTAGATCTGGACCAGGATCTGGATCTGTGTCAGGACATGCACCAGGACCTAGAAGCAGACTGGGACCAGGGCAGGACCCAGACCTGGGCCAGGACCATGATGTGGACCAGGATGGGGACCAATTCCTAGGCCAGGACCAGGACCTGAACATGGACCCGGAGCTGGACCAGGACCAGGACCTGGACCAGGAATTGGATCTGGACCTGTACCTCAAACTTGATCAGGACCTGGACATGGACCAGGAATTGGACTTGGAATTGGACCCAGACCAGGACCTGGACTAGGATTTGGACCTGGGCCAGCACCAGGACCAGGACCTGAATCAGGGCTGGGACATGGATTTGGACCAGGATGTGAAGTAGGACCTGGCCCTGGACCCGGACCAGGGCCAGGAAAAGGACCAGGACCTTGACCAGGACCAAGACCTGGATCAGGGCCAGGACCCAGATCCGGAACTGGACCAGGATGTGGACCAGTACTTGGACGTGACCAGGATTTGGATCAGGAGCAGGACCAGGACCTGGACCAGGTCTAATACCTAGAGCAGGACCAAGACCAGGACCAGAATCTGGACAAGGATCAGGATGAGGATTTGGACCTAGCCAGGACCAGGACCCAGACCCGGATTTGGACCAGTACCAGGACCTGGAGCAGGACCCGGATCAGGACCAGGACTTGGAGCATGATTTGGGCCAGGATCTGGATCAGCATTAGGACCTGGGCCAGCACTAGGACCAGGACCCAGACCAGGACCAGGAGTAGGACTTAGACCTGGACCAGGACCTGGACCAGTACCAGGACTAGGACCTGGATCAGGACCAGAACCAGGACCCGGAGTTGGACCAGGATTTGGATGTGGGCCAGGACCTGGACTTGGACCTGGACCATGACCAGGATTAGGACTTAGACCTGGACCAGGATGTGGACTTGGACCAGAACCAGGACCTGGACTTGGATGTGGACCAGGATTTGGACCTGGGCCAAGACCATGACTTGTACCTGGATCAGCATTTAGACCTGCCCAGGACTAGGACCAGGACTTGGATCTGGACCAGAACCAGGACCCGGACTTGGACAAGGATTTGGACCTGGGCCAGCGGACCAGAACCAAAACTGCACCAGGACCAGGACTTGGACATGGACCAGTATCAAGACCAGGACCATGACCAGGTCCAGGACCCGGACCTGGACCAGGACTTCGACCCGGATCAGGACCATAACCAAGATTCAGACCAGAACCAGGACCTGGATCTGTGTCAGGACATGCACCAGGACCCAGAATTGGACTGGAACCTGGGCAGGACCCAGACCTGGGCCAGGACCATGATGTGGACCAGGATGGGGACCAATTCCTAGGCCAGGACCAGGACCTGAACATGGACCCGGAGCTGGACCAGGACCAGGACCTGGACCAGGAATTGGATCTGGTACTGTACCTCAAACTTGATCAGGACCTGGACATGGACCAGGAATTGGACTTGGAATTGGACCCAGACCAGGACCTGGACTAGGATTTGGACCTGGGCCAGCACCAGGACCAGGACCTGAATCAGGGCTGGGACACGGATTTGGACCTGGACCAGGATGTGGAGGAAGACTTGGCCCTGGACCCGGACCAGGGCCAGGAAAAGGACCAGGACCTTGACCAGGACCAAGACCTGGATCAGGGCCAGGACCCGGATCCGGAACTGGACCAGGCTGTGGACCAGGACAAGGACGTGGACCAGGACCTGGACCAGGTCTAATACCTAGAGCAGGAGCAGGACCACGACCTGGATACTGTCTAGGACCAGGATCTGGACCAGGACTTGGACCAGGAAGTGGACCTGGACCAGCATCAGGACTTGGACCTTGACCTGAACCTGAACCAGGACCAAGACTAGGACCAGGAGCAGGACCAGGACCACGCCCTGGATACTGTCTAGGACCAGGATCCAGACCAGGACTTGGACCAGGAAGTGGACCTGAACCAGGACCAAGACTAGGACCAGGAACTGGGACTGTACGAGGGCCAGGACCTGAACTGGGAACAATATCTGTAGCAGGACCGGGACAAAGACCCGGATCAGGACTCAGACCAGGACCTGCACCAGGACCAGAAACAGTACCCGGACTTGTATCTGGACCAGGACCAGGATTTGGACATGGACCAGCACCAGGACCCAGACCAAGACGAGGACCAGGACTTGGACCAGGACTAGGGCCAGGACCAGGACAGGGAACAAGTCCAGGACTTGGACCCGGACCCAGTCCAGGATTTTGACCTAGGCCAGCACCAGGACTAATACCTGGAGCCGGATCAGAAACAGGAACTGGACCTGGCCCTGGTCTGGACCAGGACCAGGACTTGGACCCGAACCAGAATCTGGACCTGGATCAGGACTAGAACCAAGATCAGGACTAGGACGTGGAACTGGAGCTGGACCAGGACCTGGCCCGGACCAGGACACAGATGCAGAGCTGGACCTGGACCAGGACTCGGACCTGAACCAGCAGCAGGACCAGGACTGTAATAACTGAATGGGGAAATTATGCTTCAGCTAACACAATTATTTGTTTAATGTTTGTAAGTTTGGCAATATCAATGTGCGTTAGGTTACAGTGTTTTATGTGGATAAGTAAGCAAACCAGCAGCCTAGGGAGGGGAGTAGTTTCTGGTAATCTAGTCTAGCTGATCCTGAGTGTAAGATAAGTGTAACAATTGATAAGC